TCATCTGCATATCTCAGGTTGTTAATGAGTCTTCCTCCAATCCTGATGCCAGGTTCTTCACATATAATGCAGCTTCTTGGTTTATTTGCTCAGCACACAGATTGGTTAAGTATGGTGAAAGAATTCAAGCTTGGTACACATCTTTCCTAAGTTTAAACCATTCAGTATTCCTTCGTTATGTTTGAAAAGTCGTTTCTTGGTCAATGTACAGGTTCATCATGATCACAATTAAATGTTCTAGAACACTCACTCTCTGCAATGTTGCCCATAGTTTCCCTGACCCACATAATCGAAAGTCTTTGAATAGTCAATAAATCACCGGTAACATCTTTCTGATTGTCTCTGCTTTCAGCCAAGTTCCATCTGATGTCAGCAATGAGATCCCTTGTTTGAAGTCCTCATCTGGATCTGGCTCAAACCTCTGGCAGTTTCCTGTCACTGTGCTATTGTAACCATTTTTTTATTGTCTTTATGTTCAAGGTCATATTTTGGCTCCTGTGGACTTGTTTTAGTTTTTGTCAGCTTCAGCCTGAACTTGCTTACAAGCAGTTGATGGTCTGTTCCATAGTCTGTCCCTGGCCTTGTTTTGCCTGTGAAATGGAGCTTTTTCACCATCTCATTCCATGGTTGTAGTCAGTCTGATTTCTGTGTATTCCATCTGATGAGGTCCCTGTGTATAGTCATCTTTTATGTTGTTTAAAAAAGGTATGTGCAATGAAGAAGTCATTGGTCTTGCAAAATTCTATCATGTGATCTTCAGCATCATTTCTCTTTCTAAGGTCATATTTTCCAACTACTAATTCTTCCTCTTTGTTTCCAACCTTTGGATTCCAATATCCAGTAATTATCAATACATCTTGATTGCATGTTTGATCAGTTTTAGGCTGAAGAAGTTGGTAGAATTCTTCAATTTCATCATCACCTGCTTTGTTAGTACATAAATTTGAATAATAGTTGCATTAACAGGTATTCTTCCTAAGCATATGGATATTATCCTATCACAGACAGCATTGTACTTCAAGACAGCTCTCGAAATGTTCTTTTAAATGATGAATGCCACACCATTCCTCTTCAATTTATGATTCCCAGCATAGTAAACCATGTGATTGTCAGATTCAAAATGGCCAATACCGTTCATTTCAGCACATTCATTCCTAGATATTGATGCTTATGTGTTCCATTTCATTTTTGACAATTTGCAATTTTCTTTCATACTTTGTACAATCAATGTTCTGATTATTAATGAACATCATTGTAGTTATTTGCGAGTAGCTCTCATTTCTTCTGATGGGTGTATCCTTCCCAAACTCCTCGTAAAGTCCAGAAGATGAGTTCCCATATGTCAAAAAAACTTGGGGCCTTCAAAGAGACCCATTCCTTTTTTGTTAGTGTATACCTCCCCCTTGGAGTCCTGGTGTGGCACTGTGGGTTAATGTGCTGGACTACGAAGTTGGTTTGAACCACAAGGTTTTCAGTTCAAGCTCACCAGTCGCTCCTCAGAAACCCTATACAGGGTTGCTATGGGTTGGAACTGACTGGATGGCACTTAACAGCAACATAGCTCACCTTATACTTATTTTCTTTCTCCTTTGCCATGCCTGCTGGCCTTGTTCTAGAACTTCATCTTGGGTTCTGCTGCTTGAGCTCAACTTTACTCAGTTTTGATAAATCTCTTACAATCAGATACTGATGGCTGACTTTCCCCTGTTACTATATAATCTATTTATTCATGTTATGCTGTGATTAAAGAGCTCTGGTA